CAAAGACTTCCCGCCCTCCGTCAAGGCGGGAAGGGGGGATGTAGTACACATGAAACAGGAAAAATGACGAAAAGGCAACGACCGAGAAAATCTCTTCCCAACGCGGCAAATTCCTCCCAAGCCACATAGGGCCCCTCAACCCCTCTCCCAACAACGGACCAAGTGGGTCTCGCTCCCCAGCCGAAAAGTACGTCCCCCCTAATGTGTTTCACGAACAAACGATGCTGTACCCTGTCTATGCTGTCTGGTTCCTTCATATCTGTCTTCACTGAATTTAGCCTTCTTGCTGAAACAGTCCCGATATTTCACTCATTTGATTATGGTTTCCTTCCGATGATTGTGGGAAATCTAATGGACGTTTAGTGATTTCGTCGGCTAGGCGGTATTAATCTTTGTTTGGCAAGGGGGGGGCTGGGGGTCGGCGGGTTGGGGGATGCCACACTTGAGGGCTAGTCAACGTGTAGTGTGTGTGTCCTTGCTTTTCTTTTGCCTTGTCAGTCGTGTCTCCCCCTGCAAGTTCTGGAAATCTCTGTCAAGTGCTCTAACCTCCTGTCAACCTTGGCAAAGTGGTAATAGCATCATTTAAAGCTACTTAAATTCAAATCCACCCATTTTCTTCGGAATCTTAACAGTCATTTGTTGACAAGGTTGCCGGGCATTAACATGTATACAGTTTGTAAAAGTTGGTATTGACAAAAATACCAGCTCCTACAAACAAAATACAAACTCTGTACAGAATGTTATCCCCCTCTCTCACTCTCTCTCTCTCTCAAAGTCCTTGGGCCGCAGCCTTTTTACTATATGATGTTATGACAAATATGCTTATTTGATATAACTGCTGTTTTATCACCACAGACTGCTGTCCGAGAGTTGCCACGCATAAAATCTAGCATTTTTTGTGAAAGTCCAGCCACCATTCAGACCATTCAGTTTTGTTCAAAGTTGCACATTTGCAGACCTTGTCACTGCAGCTGATTCAAGGCCAGAATGTACTGATTACGGGTGATAGTGGTGCTGGAAAAACATCATTACTGCGAATGTTCGCTGGTTTGTGGAACAATGTTTCTGGTGAGTTCAACGAAACCTGTTCCTTATGTATTGACTTTTTCAATCATTGTGTTGATTTCCTTTATCTCAGCTAGCTTCCTTTTCTTTGAAAAAAGAAACCTGAGTAATGGCTCTGTTGTAACCTATTTTATAGGATGTAGCTGCTTGAACTTTTTACATGGTGCTGTTGCGAAAGGCGAGAGCACCGACAGATAGAGATGAGATGAATGAGCTTTAGAGATAAGGGATAGTTGCTGTCGGGGACGCCAAAGGTGTAGATGAATGAGCTTTAGAGATAGCCCCCGCGCTCAAGTAGTACATGGTCGTCCTTCCTTGTGCAAGTAGTCAGCCCCAAGCTAGAGACTATCCCACTCTCGCGACTCCACAGTGAGCGAGGAGCGAGCTACAGCCGCTCAAAGTTCTAGTTCTAACGCCCGCTCAGTTGGACCGCCCACTTGCTAGATGCCCTCTGACGGAGAGCCGCTCAGTTGTTCTTTGTTGGGACGGCGGGCATTAATCGGAACTGCATGTACTTTTTGCTGACCGCGCTCGTGCCCATAAATAATTCTGCTCTCCTTTATACATTTTATTCATTGGGAGCACATACAGTCAACTGCAACCCATCTCGCAAGGTAAAACGCGTAAAAATCACGAGTGATACAATTTTTGTGGTGCAAAAGCTCGCATGCACTAAAAGCGACACACCGCACGTAACCCCAAATTCGGACGGTTCAACTTTTTTGGATTTTTCTTTTTTCATCGTGTTTTTCGTTCGTGTTTTTGTAGTTTTTCGTATTCTTTTCCTTGCGCTGGATGATGTCCACTACTGGGATATGTGATAAAGCGATTTGTGGGCGAGGGTTGCACAGGGACCGCAGGGCGGTGTGATTGTTTCTTGAGGGTTGTTCTTGGTTTTTCCTTCGTTGAGAAATTGCTTATCAGCTACTGATTCATAACTGAACAGCAACTATCCTTGACACTATAGCGGGAGCTGTCTTCAAGGGAGGAGGCCGTGGGTGAGCCACCTATCTTATGCAATATTTAGGAAGCGCGAAGTTACAGTTGATAAAGACGGGAGTGGAATGCTGATTCGGCTTCGAGATACAATGTTAATGCAAACATTTTTAATTCCATTTTGTAGCTATTATGCATTCCTTTACAGGTAAAGTGGATCGCCATTGGCGGAGTACGCCCACAAAATCTCTTGTTCGTACCTCAAAAGGCATACTTCCCGTCCGGAGGCATCACTCTGCGACAGCAACTTGTCTATCCTCTCAAAGCTCTTCCTGTAGAAAAAGGTAAGGCCGCCATCTATATATTGGTGGAAGTGAATGATATTAGAGCACGAGGAAGCCTAGCTTGTTGGAGAGCATGTGGCTTCTCTATTCAGTTTCCCCCGAATGTGAGGTCGTGGACGCTTCTAATGTTCTGAACTCTGACATTTTGATTGACAACCAATCGCCTTAATTGTATGTTGGCTTTTCCCAGGATCTGTGCACGGTTGACGCAAATCGTTAGAATGGGTTAAAATGTGATGCATTTTGATTTGGAGCGATGTTCATAGGCTTCGGTATGCACTCTGTCGACTGGGATTGGTTAAGAATGTCGGTCTTTCTGTTCTGAATTATTAAATGCGTTCTCTAAACGTCAGTTTGGTTCCGAATATACCGTATTTTTCAGGAATGAAGAAGCTCTCTCGCCGGCGAATTGCAGCGGTTGTCACTTGCACGAGTGTTCTACACTAAGCCACGAATTGCTTTTCTTGATGAAGCAACGAGTGCGATCGGATTTGAGCTGGAAATGCAGCTTTACAGGAAGCTGCAAGAGGTAGGAATTTCTGTGCTGTTGTCTGGACAGTAAATATAACAAGATGGGTTAAGGGGAGCGCGTATTTGAGTCGCGAGGCGAATGCCGGTCAAAATAGGCGTTGCAAAGGCTGGGTGAAATACGCAGCATTCGCACCAGGACTCAACGAGGAAGTGCGGCTCATCGAGTGGGAGTACGGACATCTTGAACTCAGTTCCTTTGAACGCGTCAATTTGTGTTTTTCCTCTGTCTCCCTCATTTGCGTGGCCCTCGATGGGCATTGTGACTTCACACATTCCAGCTTTGCACGTATGATAAGTGGCTCACCCTCCCCGGAGCCCCTTCGCCTGCAAAAGCTCGTTTTCTTGCTCGCCATTGTTTCTTGCACGTCGCGATGCTTTGGCAGGCGCTGTCCTCTGACTGCATTTCTTGGTTTCGCAACAGGACCATGCACAAAAGCTCAAGATGCCATGTAACTCGAGGGTCTCAGCTCTGTCTGCGTCTGCGTTCTTAGGTCGACTAGCTACCGCCTACCGTGTGTGTGTGTGCCTGTCTAGCCGACTAGCTAGGACGCAGCGCATCTAAAAATGCACGTGATGAAGATTGAGGAACTGCTGATCAACGTCGGAGGCTTCGAAACTTTAGATTCTTTACCATATGAGTAGATTCACGCCGACAAAAAGAAAACTGGCAAGGAAGTTGCCAGTGACATCCCATAACGCCCTGTAAACTAGTCTAAGGCGAGCTCTTGGAGATTTAGCTAAACGTTCATCTCCTAATTCCGGTTTCCTCCTGAATCGTACAATGACGAGATTTTTCCCATTATGGTGCCTTAATGACCGCTTTGACGACAATCCATCTCTATGTACTAGGCGACAGATGGTCATTATCGTGATCACGTCCATCAAGGGTTACCACAGGTTATAGTCAAAAGGTGTATTGGCCAGGAGGCCAGACACATTCCGCGTCATTAGGAGAAATGATGAGAGAGTGTGGGATCCCACCCATTGTTTCAGAGGTGTAGAACAACGCCTTTCCTTTGATACTGAAGATGCTGGCCCGCCTCTTATCAGGTACGTCCGCCAACTTGCCATGGAACTTTGAATGGAGATCTGAGTAGATCCTTGAGGTTTTTAGGTGACTTTATTCAAGACCTAACGTTTCGACAGGGTCGTCTTCTTCAGAGGCCAGAACTCCACGAATCCGCCGTCACATGCGGATGCTATTTATTATCAGAAAATTGACACAACAACTTTTTTTGCTACTGACTGATGGCGGGTTCATGGTGGAGTTCTAGCTTCTGAAGAAGACGACCCTGCCAAAACGTTAGGCCGTTGAATAAAGATTCCACCTAGAAAGCTCAAGTGGCATAGCAATGCTAAC